TCAGCACTCAGGAGGCTGAGGCAGGAGGATCATTGCAAGTTTGAGACCAGTCTGGGCTAGAAAGTGAGTGCAAGGCCAGCCTGAACTGCATAGCGAGACCCTGTCTCATAAAGACAAAAAGAAAAGAAAAAGAAATTGGCTAGAATAGATCTAATCTGATGGAAAAGAGCCAGCAGAGAGTTTTGAGATAAGTTGGGTAGAAAGAGGGGGTAGTAGGTTGAGACCCCAAAACATGACTTAGGCCTACTTTTTTATACAGGGGAGCAAACCAGGGAGTGCTTTACCACTGAGCTACAGCCTTAGTCTATTTTTTTCTTGTTTTTTTTTTTTTTTTTTTTTTTTGAGACAGGGTCTCCCTAGGCAGTTCAGGCTGGCCTTGAGCTCACTTTGTAGCACAGACTGTTCTCAAACTCACAACAGTCCTCCTGCCTCAGCCTCCTGAATGCTGGGATTACAGGTATGCGCCACCAAGCCTGGCTATTTTTTATCCTGAGACCAAATCTCACTGAACTGGGACTCTAGCTTGCAATCCTCTTGTCACAGCCATTCTGTTTTTATTAGAAGTATGCACCGTGGTCCGCAGCTTTTACTTCCCTGTAAGAGGCTTTTGAGCTCCCAGGCTACCTCAAGTCAGATCAAGACTCAGACTCTGATCAGTTTACTTTCTTAAAGCTTCTATCTGATAGTGACAATGCCAAACTTTCCTTACACAGGAAGAGTGGTGCTTGGTACTCAGATTTCTTTTTTCAAACTAAGGAATATGTTTAGGGATACAGATGTGGATGACATATCAGTGAATTAAAACAAGGCACTGGTTAACACAAAAGTCAGAGTAAATTTTGAGGAGAGGAAAACGGTTGCAATCAGCAAGTACAGCACAAAGGATGCCTATGTAACCCCAGTATTCTATTTATTAAGCTGAATAATAGTTACATACATATGTATGTTATTTTTAAACTGCTTGGTAAATATTATATATTTTCCATTATACATGATACATAAAGTATTTTTTAAATAAACAATAAAAATAATGGTCCATTTAGGTGTTGCTTGTTGAATGTTGGATTGACAGATCAATTTTTTGATAGGATTTGAGTAGTTCTCATAAGATAAAAGTGGCTGAAATAGATCTAACCTGATAGAAAAGAGCCAATAGAAAAAAGGGGCTTGAGATAAATTGGACAGAAAAAGGGGTAAAATTTCCTGGGGTAGTAGGATGAGATCCATTAGATAGAATAAAGGTTAGAACCAGTAAAAAAAGATATGTGCGCCGGGCATGTTGGCACACACCTGTAATCCCAGCACTCGGGAGGCTGAGGCAGGAGGATCATTGTGACTTGGAGGCCAGCCTGGGCTACAAAATGAGCTCAAGGCCAGCCTGAACTGCATAGCAAGACCTTGTCTCAAAAAAAAGAGATGTGTGTGGAGTATAAGCTAATTCTGGGTTACAAAGAGAAAAGTGGAATCTGAGTGCGTTTCTAGGTCATTTCCTGAGGGTATTAGGTTTCTAGATTCATGTTTCATTAAAAGCAAATTATTTAAATCCTCCTTGAGCCAATTTCTGAAACGAGATTCCTGGATATTATCTAATGTAGCACTACAATCTACGATGGTAAATAATAGATAAACACACCTAACTTGACCTGCCATCTCTTTCACACTCCTTCTATTCTTTTGACTCAGTGATTCCTATGAAGCTCTGCATTTCAGCCTTGCCATTTTAAGTAGAACTCCTCTGCCCTTACAAAGATGTAAGCAAATGTTTTCCAATAGGCTGTTGATAGTGTAATTAAATTCAGAGACCACTAAATAGGTTGAGACAATGTTTTCCTTTATTCAAGATACTTCCTAGAAATTAGACTATTTTAGGATATAGTTTTTGGTTTTGTTTTGTTTTGTTTTGTTTGTTTTTCTGGTTTTTGTTTTTTTTTTTTTTGCTTTTTTTCCAGTACCGGGAATTGAACTCATGACCTTGCTCATGCCAGGAAGGCGCTGTGCCGCTGAGCTAAATCCCCAACCCCAGAAATTAGACTATTTTAGACACTGTATTATCTATTTCATTGATTCTAACAAGCCACAGGAGTACAATGTAGTAAAAAGCTCTGGCTAGATCATTAGCAATTTAGCAGTTATAATTCATGGGTAAAGTGTTAATTCTGTGTGCTAAAGGTAAGAATACAGGCCGGGGATATAGTTCATCAGCATGGCACCTGCCTGGAAAATGCAAGGTCAAGAGTTCAATTCCCAGTACCCCCCCAAAAAGAAAGATAAGAATAGAAGTTGTGTTATAATTAGAAACCCAGAATGAAAGTATATAAAATGTAAAGTGCATAGTATTTTTTGTATAGCTCTGTTAGAAGAAGGAGAAGAGAACAGAAGTATCAATGAAAATCTTACCTAGGAGCTCAGTGCATGTGAAAATAGTACAGCCCCTGAAAACAGCATTTATCTGTGATTCAGTTCCTAGAACAGAAGAAAAACACTGGATAAAAAGATGAGAACTTAAGCTTGGTGGGGCATGCCTATAATCCCAGCCTCTTGGGAGGCTGAGTCAGGAGGATTCCCAAGTTCAAACCCAGACTGGGTAACTCATCAAGACCCTATCTCAAAATAAAAAGTAAACAGGACTGGGGATGCAACACAGTGTGAGGTCCTGGGTTTAATCAGTCCCTAGTACTGAAAGAAAGAAAAAAAGAATGAAGACTTGAATTCTCAATTCTCCAAAAATGAAAGCTGCACCAAACACACTTTTTTTTTTTGTTTGTTTTTTCTCCGGTACCGGGAACCGAACTCACGACCTTGCGCTTGCCAGGCAGGCGCTTTTGCCGCTGAGCTAAATCCCCAGCCCCCAAACACACTTTTAGTAAAATGAGGCAAAATTAGTCAACACTGGTAAATGTCTTCATGACATCTCCTTTATATGGTGCTGGGGAATCAAACCCAGGTCTTCATGCAAGTTAGGCAAACACTCTACCATCGAACTGCAGCCCATGCTCAATGCTGTACTCTCAGGCCTTCTTTCATCCATCTTCCCGGAACAAGATGCTCCTCTGATCACATTCAACATGACTGAAAAAGTCTTAGTAGTTATTTCCACTCAGAATTTCTGTGTAGGAGTAAAGAAAGGTCTTCAGTTGTGTTGCCCAGAAGCAGCTTCTTGTGAAAGTGATTTCTTGAGGAAATTCTACTTAGGTGAAGCTTAACAAGAGATGAGGGAAGCAGAAGAAAAGCAGAAGACACTGAGGTGGGTGCAGTAAGTTTATACTTAACTGAACTCATAGGGCACTCAGGAGCATGTGCTCATTCTGAGGTAGGAGATTAGGGTATGGCAAAATGACTGGGAAATTGGGCATGACCTATCAGTCATGGAGACCCATTGCACATGACTTGAGATGCATGTGCAGAGAAACTACGGAGTCCTGCTTGGGTCAGCCCAGATCCTGACATAAGAAGAAGATAGGAAAGACAAGGCCATTGGCCTGGTCATCAGGGGTCTCTTGCTCTTAGAGTGGCCTGCCCTACACACAGGGAATATCTTCTCTTTTCTTTGTGGCACTTCTTCAGGGCACTTCTTTTTCATTTTTCTTTCTCTTTTACCTTTATCTTTAGTAAATATTAAACATTCAGGATCTTTAGTTGTCCCATCCAATTCTTTGAACAGGACAATGAGACCCCAGAAAGGACCACTGGCCACCACAATATCCAGTAACAATCACAAATTTGTGCCAACTTGAAGCAAGAGGGCTGGACTTTGGTGTCTTTATATAGATTCAGGTGGCTTGTGTGGGCGCAACAAAAGGCTTAAGCTTTCAGGCAATGCCAGAAATGGCAGGCTTTGTGCCTCCTTTAGCGAACACTCAACCAGAATGGGCAAACTGGCCTGGTAAAGGGGGGCAGTTCACAGCAGGGTCTACTACAGGTAATGCTTCTGTAGGGTTTCTTTTAACCTAAACCTCACCATCTACTTTATATTCATATTTTGACTCAAGAACATTTGGTACTATCCATTAAACACCTTTTTGTTTAGCATCTTGGTTCATTGTTATTTATTTATTTATTTATTTATTTATTTATTTTTGGTCCCAGGAAATGAACTCAGGGCCTTAGCGCTTGCCAGGGAGGCGCTGTGCCACTGAGCTACCTCCCTGGCCAGTTCATTGTTACTTAAAAAGCAGTTTAAAAATTGTTGAGACGAGCATAATGGCACACACCTGTAGTTTCAGTACTCTGGGAGGCTGAGACAGGAGGATTGAAAGTTCAAGCCCAGCCTGGGCAACTTTGTGACTTAGTGAGACCCCCATCTCAAAATAAAAAGTTAAAGAAAGGGATGCAAATGTAGATCAGTATGAAAGCTGAGTTCAAGCCCCCATACCACCAACCCCTAAGACATTTAAAAAGCCAAATAAAAAGGTTAGATTACTTTTGAAAAAGTACGCTGAACATCTTCAATTTAAGTAAAGCATATAGTTGATTGGTTAAGGGGAAAGAATGAGTAAAGTCAAATGGATTTAAAATCTGGCCCAATCTCACTAGGTGTATGCTGCTGCATGCAAGTTAATTCTGCATGAGGCGGTCAAAATATACAGTGAATGCTTAAATTTAGCAATTTTATTACAATAAAAGCCACATTGCCATTACTCCTCCTCACTACTACCCTGGCGTCAAACACTTTTCCTTCTCATCATTCTTGTCACTTTCTGAAGGAATTCTAGAAATCTTCTTTCATATATTTATGATCAAAAATATGGTGCGCAGCCGGGCGGGGTGGTGGCGCACACCTGTAATCCCAGCACTCAGGAGGCTGAGGCAGGAGGACTATTGAAAGTTCAAGACCATCTTGGGCTACAAAGTGAGCTCAAGGCCAGCCTGAACTGCACAGTGAAACCCTGTCTCAAAAAGACAAAAAAAAAAAAAAAAAAAAAAAATGGTGCATGCTGCTGCCTAGTGCAATCCAACAGAAAGAGAATCTTGTGAAATATATGTGTCCTCACCTACCTTAGTCACTGGAGCCGGCACATGTGACTTCCGGATCTTCCCTAAAGTCAAAATGATGAAGACAGATAAACCGTTTGAATCCATTAAAGATATCAAGCAGTCATGACAGTGCAACTAAAGACACAACAGAGGTCTTCCGGAACTGCTTCAGAAAGTGGCAAGAATGATGGGGTAAGTTAGTTCAAAGTGAAGGGGAGTGTTCTGAGAGGGAAATAATGACAATGTGTCTTGTTTTTGTTTTTGTTTTTTTTTCTAGTACCGGGAATCGAACTCACGACCTTGCGCTTGCCAGGCAGGACAATGTGTCTTATGCTGTATTTTTTTTTTTTGTCTCTTTCAGACAGGGTCTTGCTATGCACTTTTCAGGCTGGCCTTGAGCTCACTTTATAGCCCAGGCTGGTCTCCAACTTGCAACGATCTTCCTGCCTCAGCCTCTTGGAGTGCTAGGATTACAGGTGTGCACCACCACACCTGGCTGTCTTTTACTGTAATAATTTGTTTTCAGTTTAAACATTCCCCATAATCACACTTTGTTATGTGTCTCATTTGCTTAGTCTATTTTTCTTCAACAGGTGAACCTGTATTACATCTTTTCATCTTTAATTTACCTAAAATTTTCTCTTTTTTAAAATTTTCATACCTAAAATTTTCTAATTGGCATTCAGCAGCTTTATTATGCTGCAGCTTGGTGCAGTTTTGCTGTGTGTTAATCCTGGCAAAGTTTCATAAAATTTCTTGGATTTGTAAGCTTTTAATTTTCATCAAATTTCAACTCTTCTGCTATTCTTTCTTCAGATATTGTTCCGATCGTCTTCCAACTGGAACTGCAATTATATGTACACCCCACACGTTTCATTGTTGTACCACAGGCCAGCGCGGCTCTTTTTTCTAGTCCTTTTTCTCTTGCTTTCCCTTTAGGTTCACTGATCTTTCCTTCTGCAGAATTTAATCTGCACCTCTGCTTTGCTGTCCAAGTAGCCCACCGGGATTGTAAACTCAGCCCCAATAAAAAATTAAAGAGACAGAGTTTAACAAAAGGGAGACACTTTATTTGGTAGCCTACCTTGATAAGAAAGAACCAGGGAAAGGGCCTCCGGAAAGATGGAGGACCGTGGGCCTTTCGCTCTGTTTCTTTTATAGGGACTGAAGGGCCCTCTCTCTACCAGGATCTGCCTGGCCGTTCTCTCTACAGGGGATGAACTAGATTGGCCTCCGAGCATCCTGCGAATGTCATCTCTTCTAGTATTCTATGTGCAGAGTTTTTTCTGTCTGTTCACTTGTCCTTGACAGGGTCTTATCTCTGGAGTGGGCGCTGATTAGCAAGGGTGTGCCTTATTCAAGTAAGACGGTGTGTGGATATCTATTGCACTCTATAATTATCTGAGGAGTACAGTGACCCTGGAGTGAATACACACACACACACACACGTATATATTAGTGCATAGGTATGAGTACATACTAGAAAGAGTCTTTCTCAGTTTGTTTGTTTTTCTATACCAGGGATCGAACTCACAACCTTGCGCTTGCCAGGCAGGCGCTTATGCCACTGAGCTATATCCCCAGCCCTCGAGTTGTTCCCAAAGTTAGCCCCCCCTCCCTTGTTTTCCCTGCATCTCCAGCTTATCTAGCAAGTTTGAGACCAGCCTGGGCTACAAAGTGAGCTCAAGGCCAGCCTGAACCACATAGTGAGACCCTGTCTCAGAAAGACCCCCCAAAAAAGTTTCAAGGTTACTTGGTGTCTTTTTTTACATACTAGGAATCAAACTCAGGACCTTGCGCTTGCCAGGCGGGCGCTTCTGCCACTGAGCTATATCCCCAGCTTCATTTGCTTTTGAAGACTTTTCGGTTAAATATAACATACATTTGCTTTTTTTTTTCCCCCCTTTGGCTTATCAATCTGTCTTTTGTTACAGGTGATGTAGACATAAACCTTGGATGGATAGAGAAAAACATTTTTTTTTCCACTACAGACTACAGGATGGAAGATACCTATGGGACAGAAAAGAACAAGTGTACTTCAGATCTGAAGATCACATCTCGCCTTATCAACCGTTGAATGCTTATACTTACTTGGCAGAAAGAAGCCTTGAACTTGTTTTAACTAGATTATTTTGGGGTTTCATTGCTGTGAACATAACCCTAATCAAATCGTTCTTTTTACTGTCTGTACTTGACAGACGGGAAAGCTGAGAGGTTGCTCATCCCTGGCCACAGAGCTAAAAAGTAGCTGAGGGGACTTGAACCTGGGTCTCATTTCAGAGCTTATGCTCTTCCCCACCATCATATTTTGTCCCTCCTATTAGAAAAAGAGGAAAGTGCCTTCTGGAAAAGGAAAAGTGGCTATTGTAAATAGTAGATAATTATGTTTGGGGTGTTTTGGTTTTGTTTGTTTGTTTGTTTTTGTCTTTTGAGACATGGTCTCACTATGCAGTTCAGGGTGGCCTTAAGCTCACTTTGTAGCCCAGGCTGGTCTCAAACTCGCAACAGTCCTCCTGCCTCAGCCTCCCCAGTGCTGGGATTACAGGTGTGCGCCACCACGCCCAGTCCCTGGCATTTATTTTCATAAAATGCAATTTAAAAATCTCTGGTTCATAAAATTTGGGTATTTCTTATATCTCAACCCAATCTCCTTTTCAACCTTTCTGCTTAATATGTAGCCTATGACTCCAATTACCAAGTTTCTAGTAATGGATCAGCTGCAGGGGTACATTTGTAAATGTACCTAAGCAATTCTATGAATAACAGGGATTTATTTATCTACGTGGTTAAAAAGTCTCTGGAACTTTACAAAAGAGGATAGTATGGGTGACCTCTCAAAGGTTACTTAGCAGTTTATAAAAACAATACCAACAGGTGCTACAAGAGAGATATGTGTTTGAAATGGTGTCTTATCTATTTTACTTTTAATTTTTTTGATCCAGTAACGCCAAGTGATTCACCTCCCAAGAAATACATACCATTAATTTTGATGTAGTCATTTCCTGAAGGGTTTTCCATCTGATGATGAGTTTTGTTTTGAGTTTTTGAGACAGGGTCTTACTGTGTAGCTCAGACTGGCCTCAAATTCAGGAGACTCCCCTGCCTCAGCCTCCCAAGTGCTGGCGTTACAGGTGTACACATGGCAGTGATGATGAGTTTCTGTATGCAATCAGGCGTGAGATCCTTCTAAAAGTGTTTATTAACCATCTGCATTTTAACCAAGGCTGAAATAGTGAGCCCAGTTTGTTTGTTTCTTTTAAACAATTTTATTTTTAATAAACAAACAAAATTTCAAAACAAGATGATAGGAGGATAACAATGATTAATACATTGAGTATTGTTATCTTTAAATTAGTTACTCAGGGCTCAAGATATCAACATTTAATTGTTCAAACAACATTAGCACAAACTGTTCTTTTCAGTGAACTAAGAGAAATTAGTAGTATAATTACCTTAACTATCTTTTATATATATATTTTATTTTCCCTTCTTTCTTTTCTCCATTCCACCGATGCAGTTTCTCTTTCCTTTTGAAGTTTCTTCCCATTTTACAATATCTAATTGTATATTTGGGATCTTATTTACTCTTTTAGCTTCTCACACTAGCAGAGAATAAGACATTTACACATGTGCATCTGGTTTATTTCACTTATGTGCATGGTCTCAAGTTGCATCCATTTACCTGTAGAAGTCTCCACTTTATCCTTCTTTATGGCTGAGTAGTACTCCATTATATAAAAAGACTGCATCTTTTTTATCCATTCCTTGACTGATGGGCATACAGGTTGTTTCCAAGATCTAGCTATTACAAATTGTGCTGCTATAAACATGGGTGAACATATAACACTGTGGTACAATGTCTTTAATTCTTCTGAGAAGATACCCAGAAGAGGAATAGCTGGGTCAAATGGGCCCTCCAACCCTAGTTTTCTGAGGAATCTCCACACTGATTTCCACAGTGGTTGCACCAGTCTAGGCTCCCACTAACAGTGGAGAAGGGTTCCTTTTTCCTCACAGCCCCTCCAGCATTTGGTATTGGTTGATTTCTTAATGATAGCCATTCTTTCTGGGTTAAAATACAATTTCAGTGTTGTTTTAATTTACATCTCTCAAATAACCAGTGATATTGAACGTTTTCTCATATATTTATTTGCCGTTTGTATTTCTTCATCTGAGAAGTGTGTATTCATCTCAGATGCCCATTTTTGGACTGGGTCTTTAAATTTGAGAGGTCTGATTTTTTTTTAATTCTTTATACATTCTCTATAGTAATCCTTTGTCTGAGCTGAGGGACAGCTGGCAAACAATTTTTCATATTTTGTGGGTTGTCTGTTCACTCTGTTGGTGGTTTCTCTTGCTGTGTAAAAGCTTTTTAATAACATGAGATCCCAGTTGTTGATTCTTTGTGATAGTTCCTGTGCAGTTAGGGTTTTATTCATAAAGTCTTTACCTGAGCCTGGTTTTTTTGTTTGTATTTTTTAAATCTTTTTGAGACAGGATGGTGCTCCTATGGAGTTCAGGCTGGCCTTGAGCTCACTTTGTAGCTCAGACTGGTCTGAGACTCTCAAGAATACTCCTGCCTCAGGCTCTGAGTGCTGGGATTATGGGTGTGGACCACTGCACCTGTTTTGAGCCCAGTTTTTGACAGACAAGCAAAGTTGTTAAAATATTTATCATTTGAAGACTATCTTCATGATTCTTATATTTTCTTAGTTCCCATGATTTTATATAGCTAATATTTTTCTTTAGAAGTGAATCACTTAGCAAGATGTGGTGGTATACCCTGTAATCCCAGCACTCGGGAGGCTAAGGCAGGAGGATCACTGCAAGTTTGAGACCAGCCTGGGCTACAAAGTGAGCTCAAAGCCAGCTTGAACTGCATAGTGAGACCCTGTCTCAAAAAGACAAAAAAAAAAAAAGAGTCACTTGGACCGAGGCTATAGCTCAGTAGCAGCACTTGCCTGGCAAGTGTAAAGTCTTGAGATCGACTCCCAGTTACTTCCCCTATTAAAAAAAATCACTTTTAAAAATACTGAGTAGTTTGGCCTCCTCCCTGAGCAAATACTTGATATCAGAAAGTACTAACTGATTGTCTCTAAATATACCTGAATTTACACCGTTCATCACTCTTTCCTAAATCTCTCACGGACACAGAGC